AAACTGCACATTTCAGAGTGGCCTTTTATTGTGGCCAGCCTAAGGCACACCTGTGCAATATTCATGCTGTCTAATCAGCATCTTGATATGCCACACCTGTGAGGTGGGATGGATTATCTCAGCAAAGGAGAAGTGCTCACTAACACAGATTTAGACAGATTTGTGAACAATATTTGAGGGAAATGGTCTTTTGTGTATATAGAAAATGTTTTAGATCTTTTGAGTTCAGCTCATGAAAAATGGGAGCAAAAACAAAAGTGTTGTGTTTATATTTTTGTTCAGTGTAATTTGCATGGGTCTAGAACTTTTCACATCTAAAAACTTCATACAGTATTGGCTGATGTCACTAGTGTTGCAGGGTGGAGTACCGTAGTACTACGGTGCCTCACGTACCACTACTGTGGGATAAGTTCAAAGTCCAGTCGCAAGAGGGTGAGTGTCCATGCGCCGTCCAATAACGGCGTGCACTGGCCAACTGTCACTCAATATGCTGCTGTAGTGGTTTGTTTTCCAGACATGAGTATCTTTGAGCAGTGAAAGTTATTATTTACTTCTTTTTTCTTGTCTGCAGTGATTTGTTTTCCGCAGAGCTCTTCATGCGAGCATTTTACTCGCATTTGCGACTAAAAATAGTTTTGTGCAAGCAAAATAAATCATTCAGCACGCTGATTTCAACCAGCAGCAGAAACTAAAAGCGAATCCTGCTGGTTGTGGGTTGAACGGGGGTCACAGACAGGAATAAGTCGGTCAAATAGCCTACGGCGGCTCCGTGGTGCAAGATAACGGCTCACTGGCGTCAGAGAAGTCCGACTCCAGGTCCGGTAGCCTACTCTCCTCTTTCGCTGGCGTCATGACTGCCCAGTAGTACCTAGATAACCGAGCCGTGGCAGCACACAGGTATGTGGCGTATCAGAGGAGAAACGAGCCGTTCACATTTCTCTCTTTGTGGCAGGTAACAGTCCACAAACCTCACCGCACTTTAGGGACTGTTCTTTACTTATGGAGGGACTGTCAGGGGAGGAGGGTGGCTGGTTGATTTTTATTTTATTTATTTTATTTTGATCCCCCCTATGTTAATCACTTATTGATGCTGTTTTTGAAGTATGAATAAGTCAATAAGTAATTTATTCCTTTGAAATATCATTGATGTATTATAGAAAAGTGATTCATCTTTTTATAAATGACAAAAGGCACATCTGCCTCATTTTTGCTGTGGTATTGTGATACTACTCAGAACCGTGATACTTTCACTGGTATCGTACCGTCTCTCAGAGGCCCAAAGTGTTCCCCTACTTCTAATTTTACAAATTAAGCACTGTATGTAACACAACTTGACCCTATATCGATATAAACAGTACTGTCTAAATTTATATCTTGTTTGAAAGAATATCAATATATAGTACATAGTCGTTATATTGCCCAGCCCTAATAGCTATGTCTATTATTTTTTACAGTCTATGGTTTGCCATATTTCTACAGTAGCCCAAAACTGAAAAACCAAACACTGACTGCAGATTGGGCCATTTGCATTTTTGCATTAGCTATTGTAGTTAGCCCACCTGCAACAAACGGCTTTGGAAAAACACTGATTTGTAACGGGCACCTGCTTTATTTTTATTTCATTTATTTTTTTCTTAACCAGTTGTGGATAATTCGGCTCCCGGTAAAAACCTGCTGAACAATAAATACTCAAGGAATCCTAACCAGGAGAAGTTTTAATTCGTTACAATCTGCAGTCCTCACCCCTAGATGCCACTTAATCCCCCTAAATCTTACACACTGAACCTTGAAATCACACCAGGGACTGAATTTCAGGATATCTCAGACTCTGCTGCTTTGACCATTCTTCTCTCTTATGAGTTCCCCACCTTTATGGAATGTTACATCTCTGTGACATGTACAAATTCTCAGTTCTTTCAAAACCAAAAGCAGTGCACAAAATTAACAAAGCTTAACTCAAGGCAAATATGTTGCTGGATCAGAATAAGCAGTGCACCGACATTGTTTTATTGTGAAAATAGACAGCTTTATTGAAGATATTAATTTTAACAGTGTGTGCGTGCGTCATCTGATGTAGCTGGGGCTCTGTCTGAAGTCCAGTGAATGCAGGGAGGTAGCCAAGGCAGCGTACAGGTGGGAGTTGCTGAACCTCAGGCAGTACACTGGGCTGCTCACTGGGTGTGAGCTCAGCTGGAAGAACTACACAAAAACAAAATATGAAATCACATTATAAGAGCATTAACTTTAGTGTTTAACATCTGGCATTCACTTCACAAAATGGTGTTTTAGACTGGTCCTAAAAGCAGGTGAGCTACTGTTCATCCTGAGGATGTACTGAACACACCTGCAGGCACTCAGTCTGCCGCTTGTCCCAGAGTCGTACCACACCGTAGTGTGAGGAGCCGCTGGCTATCATGTGATTTCCGTCTGTCTGGATGCAGTAGAGGGTGCTGTCATGAGGCTCCTCCCACTCCATTACACACTTCCTGTTGAGAAGGATGGGAGTGGGTAAACACACGTGTTGAGTTGAAGATCCACATAACATCTGATTCTTAAATGTTTTCAACTCGAAAATGTGTTGAAAAGATACTGTATGTAGAAGGCAACTGGACTACTTGCAGACCTGCTGGGGATATGCTTCTGTCTTTCTTTAGTGCAGACTTAAGGTATGTTTTCTCCTGTGCATACAGTCAGGTCCATAATTATTTGGACAATGATACAGTTGTTGTCATTTTGGCTCTGTACACCACCACAATAGGTTTTAAATGAAACAATGAATACCTGCTTAAAGTGCAGACTCTCAGCTTTCATTTAAGGCTTTTTTCAAAAATGTAGTATGAACTGTGTAGGAATTACAACCATTTCTTCACACAGTCCCCCGACTTTAAGGGCTCATAAGTATTTGGACAAACTAACATAATCATCAATTAAACAGTCAGTTTTAATACTTGGTTGCAAATCCTTTACAGTTAATGACTGCCTGAAGTGTTGGACTCATAGTCATCATCAGATGCTGGGTTTCTTCCCTGGTGATGCTCTGCCAGCCCTTTACTGCAGCCGTCTGCACTTCCTTCTTGTGTTTTGGGTGTTTTGCCCTCAGTTTTGGCTTCAGCAAGAGAAACGCATGCTCAGTTGGATTCAGGTTAAGCAGGTATTCATTGTTTCATTTAAAACCCATTGTGGTGGTGTACAGAGCCAAAATGACGACAACTGTATCACTGTCCAAATAATTATGGACCTGACTGTATGTAGCAGCTCTTCTAAAAGTACAGGAATACATTTTCCAGGGCTTGTCTGACTAAACTACATTTTATAATCTGTGTACCATACAGACATGATCATTAACACGGAGAGACAGCTCTGTGCTCCTACATGCTGGAATTCAAATGAAACAGTGACTTTAATGTTAAGTCTTGACAGCTTAACTTTAAAGGTGTTTGCATGATGCACATCAGATGAATAGTGAAAGAATTGTAACACTTTTGATAAACATCATTTTTTGGCTTTATTTGGCTTTTATTAACAGGGACAGCAGATCCAGACAGGAAGAGAAAGAGAGGACATTCAACTAAGGTACTGAGCTGGAATCAAAGTGATTATAAAGTACAGTATATGCCGTAACCATGAAGTGCAGACCTTTTCATAGATAGTCCCACAACTGCAGGGGACCAAAATGTATTGGACAAATGAAGACAAACTTAAAGGGATAGCTCAGATTTTTTGAAGTGGGGTTGTATAGATTACTTATCCATAATCAGTGTATCAAATACAGTAGGTGTCAGTTGGCAGGGCCCCATTTTGGAGAAGGAGGCTGGAGTCCGACATGGAATGCCCCCCCCCCCCCCCCCCCCCCCCCCCCCCCCCCCCCCCCCCCCCCCCCCCCCCCCCCCCCCCCCCCACCCCCCCCCCCCCCCCCCCCCCCTTGCGCAAAACTCTTTTTAGTCGCAAATGCTAGTAAAATGCTCGCACCGTAGAGCTCTGTGGAAAACAAATCACTGTAGCATATATAAACAAATCTAGCCTACAAGTAAAAAGAAATAAATAATAACTTTCACTGCTTAAAGACACCCAATAGCTCAGCTAATACCTGAAATGTCACTGGAAAACAAACCACTGCAGCAGCATATTGAGTGCCAGGTGGCTAGCACGCGCCGTTATTGGACGGCTCATGGACACTCACGCTCTTGCGATTGGACTTTGAACTTATCCCATAGTAGTACTACGGTACTCCAACAATGCTAGCATGGGTGGCAACCAATCATGCGAGACATGGTCTCAATTTGCGTGATGCGTGAAAAGAGACAGAAATGCTGTGCAGTCCCACGCACCCTACTTCCACTGCCACTCACAAGCAACAG